ATAACTATTGCCTCTTCACACACAATAGGCACTACTCTCATACCTTGTTACATTACGAAGCAGTTAGAGTTAATACTGGGACGTGTAAAAGACCTCCTAGCAAAAATAAAATGAGTTTTTTTAATGACATTACATTTTCTTCGCAGCCTACTTGCCCGATGCTACCGAAACTGCTTGCAGCAAATGTAACACAGCCCAGAAGCAGAAACTTAAGTTGTACCTCCAGAAGGTCAAGGAGACCTCCCCCGATGACCTTGCTGCCCTGAAGGCCAAGTACGACCCTGACTCCAAGCACGTAGATGCCCTGATCGCCGCTCTGAAGGAAGCTTAAACCCTATAGTGATATTAGATTAAGCAAAATCCTATTATGTTTGTAAAAATATTTCTGTGAAATAAAATATGTATAAATATAAAGAAAAAACTTTGTTTCTTCTTGTCTCTCCCTCATTGATATAATTTTAATCTGGTAAAAGAAATAAGTATAGGTATTTATAGTTCTTGCAAGTTGCAACTCACAAAGGCAAGTGAGCTTAACTTGTGTGTAAAAAGTTTACATTAATACACGCCGTCGTGAATTGCAACAACTAAGTAATATCCCATCAAAAACAATACTTGTCAAAAAAAACCAAGTCTCGCAACTCAGTTGTTCTACGGTAAAAAGTTGTGAGATCCATGTAATACCAAGTCCAGGCCAGGAAATCTTTAACGTTTTACATAAATTATTGACTTGGCCATCGCACTAAATAATTTAATTTACACGTGTTTTCATGCGATGGCCAAGTCAATATATTTATGTAAAACGTTAAAGATTTCCTGGCCTGGACTTGGTATTACATGGATCTCACAACTTTTTACCGTAGAACAACTGAGTTGCGAGACTTGGTTTTTTTGACAAGTATTGTTTTTGATGGGATCTCATTTCTTTTTGTATTTTGTAGACAGCAGTTATGTATCTAGAAAACTGGACCGAAATTGAAAAATTTTACTCGACTTGGCGGTTGCACTACCGTGCCCCCAAATATTTTAGTTTTTCCTTGATTCATACACCAAACACTACTTATATTCCAAATTTGAAGCTTCTAGGTCTGCTAGAAGTGCCTTAGAGTTTTGATGATCGGTGAGTCAGTGAGTCAGTGAGTCAGTCAGTGAGTGACAAAATTAAGTAACTTTGACCCGTTATAATTCTTAAACTACTGGTTCAAATTGAATGAAATTTTAAATATACCGTGTCTTTACAATGCCTGCATAGCTAATGAAAATTCAGCCTTCTAGTTTTGTCCACAACGAAGTTACAGGCGGTCGAAAATGGCCTGAATTGCTTCGAGAAAAGGATGGTACGGCCGTGCCGCTTTTTTGCTCGACTTGGTGGGGGCACTGCCGTGCCCCCAGATCATGATACCTTTTTCAATTTTGAAGCCATGATAGCCAAACTGTGAAGGGGTCCTACGAGCCTTCAGCTAACTAATGACTCTAGGTACTTAGAAAGTACTATTTGTCTACGAAATACCTACAGTGTTAACTATGTATAGTGTTTATTATTATAATTAATACCCAATTCGAATTCAATTTAGGTATTTACTCTTTGTTGCGCCATCTTACTCTAACTTTATAAACGTCAAAAATCTGTCAAACACCATACAAAAAGCACCGGTTACCATTATAGTTACCGTTAAGAGCGTTGTCACATTTTTCATGCAGAAATCGAGAATTTGGCAGATTTCGAAATGATTTTAGTCATTTAATTTATTGTTATAGCTTCTTTTGACTTATATCATCGTAATTATCATACGTTTTTACGGAATGTCTATTGACAAAATCTCGTTCAAATTGGATTTTTGCCTACGAAAACAGCGAATTTCGAAAGCCCGATTTCCAGGTAACTCGCGAAGGCACAACTTTGAACTAATATTACAACAAATTTATTTCTATTTTTACCGTAGAACAACTGAGTAGTGAGACTTGGTTTTTTGACAAGTATTGTTTTTGATGGGTTTGTATTACAGAGCACATGTGTACCTAATGGGATAACTGTTTAAAAACACGATTAGATAAATTTTGTTCTATGGATAAAAATTTTAAAGTTACCTCTGATTTTTTAGCATTATACGACCGTGGTTTATAATAATAAATTCTATAAAATCACAATGATATCAGTATTTACCTCTTTGATTTCCTGACTTGTTTAGATTTACAAAAACTAAATATTTATTAATAACTTTTAGATAATAATTTGAATGGCGATTACGATGTTTAGTTACGAGCTCTTTGATGGACACAGATATTATAGATAACGTTTAAAAAATGGCACGCTCGTTTTCATACATTTCATTCTATTTATTTAAGCTATCCATATTTATGTGCGGAAACGTCACAAAATCAGAATAAATTTTAATTTTTCCATTTCCCGCACCATAAAAACTAAAAAGTCAAAAGTAAAATTTAAATAGTAAATATTTTTCATAAACAAGCTTTTGATGCTGTAAAAAGAATAAAATAAAACATAAATTCTTTCAAACCCATAAACTTATTACTTTACTCAATTTAAAGATTAAAAAGATGTCGCGGGATTTACTTGTGTAAAAAATACATTAATTACGTAACTTGATTTTGCTAAAAATCTGATCTGAGAAAAAATCAAATAGGTAAATTATACATTATTTCTTTATTATTATGTATGATGTACTGTCTTAGGTACGATACAACTACGGATTAAGATCGTTTAGTCGACGCAGCGTTGAAATTGTACAGATAAATGCAGTTTGCGCACTCACCACGCGACGTCAAGCAATAAAAACCTAAAATTCGAACGCCAACTTTTTGATACAACGCTCTTAAGATTAGGTTAGGTTAGCCTTAGTAAATTATTTTTCCAGAAATATGAAAGCCTTTTTTTCTTTCCTGTATTGTTAAGATTATGGCTTCGTACGGTTTCCACATTCACTCGTACATTCAATTCAGTAAGGAGAACCAAAGTGACCGACATAGCTCGCAGAATAGCTAAAATTAAGTGGCAGTGGGCGGGGCACAGAAGTAGCTCGTAGAGACGTGGCCGTTGAGGCAGAAAAGTCCTCGAGTGGCGACCACGGGTTGGAAGACGTAGCGTGGGCAGGCCTCCTACTAGGTAGACCGACGATCTGGTAAAAGTCGCGGGAAGAACCTGGATGCGGGCAGCGCAGGACCGTTCATTATGGAAAACCTTGGGGGAGGCATTTATCCCGCAGTGGACGTCTAAAACTTCGTCTAAAATTTAGCTAAAACGAGACGAGACGAATTAGAAATATTCAATTACAAACATTATGAGTGATGTGATGATGATGAATGATACATGATAATCATGACCCTTTCCTTTGAGTTTAATTAAAGATTAGGGACTTTACTGAAACCTGACGCAGACTTCTTGAGAGAACTTGAAAAGTGATGTTGCACCGTTTACCTACACTCGTGCATGTTTACAGAAACACAATGGTTAATAATCTACGCATATTTCACATAAATAGTTGAGTAAATAGACAATGAAAAGATTTTTATTAATGTACAAAATTCAGAAATACAAACTCTTCCTATACATATAAATCTGATCAGTTTGGACTCTATACATCGCTATCATCGAGTACAGCGAGATTTGAACCTGAAACTGCATCTATTTTTTAACTCAGTACTTCACAAACTGAATTACCTACCTGTTTGGCTGAAAGGATATTAATAGGATAAAAAAAGATTTATAAAAAAGTAGACCTATTAATAGCTTCTGTTATTGATAAATTGCAAAATCGCCGGAAAGCTCAAAGTTCAATAACGTCACTAGTTTATAAAAAAGATCAAACGATAACGATCAAATTAATGGTTCCAAAGTTCGTTAGGCCGAAGCCGAACTGACGTAGATGGGCGCGTTTCGAAAAGTTGTTCCAAAAATAGAAATAGAATACCAGTTTACAAATACGTTATGTTTATCTATGATCCATTTTTATATTATTGTTACTGTACTGAAAGTTTATCCGCACCATGATGATGATGATTATGAGCTCAAAATGACGCGCGAACAACTTAATAATATGTGTACCTACAATGAATATATTTTTCTATGTAATCTAAGGTAAATTTTCAAGGCGAGAGTGAATAGGCACTTACAGGGCAGATATGTACCAACCTAGACCGCATTCCACTTAACATCAGGTGCGATTGTGGTCAAATACCTGCCTTGTTATGCATAAAAAAAAAATAATAATTTACACAAAAGTAGGGAAAAATGTTGAAGATTTTTTACGTCTTGGGGCTCGACGCTACTGTGACCAGTAAATAGATAGTATCATTCATCCAACTAAGAAATTCCCTCTATCCATTCATCAAACTCTTATGAATTTTCAGTTACATATACGAGTACATCATGATAAGTAGCATGTAGATAAGTTTGTGTTCATAACTCACCAGATGCCGACAATTTACTTTAAAAGTAAAAGCCTTTAAATATAAAAATAAATAATAATATGATGAAAACATTATCAATATTATTAGCGCTTGGCGAGTAAGGTTTTGTCAGTCCGCAGAGTTGCTAAGCTACTCATAATGAGCGCAAATATGTTAACTCTCATCAATTAGGTAGTTGAAATGATCTAGTGTTCTTTTCTATTGAAATATCTAAAAAGAATTAAATATCGGAAATCTAATAGATACCAAGCGCAAAGACAGTGTCTTCAGTAGAACGAGTGTGGAGCTCCACAAGGCAGTATTTTTTGCCCACTCTAATTCTTATCGCAAAAACTACCTTACTTACGTGACAAAATGCAAAATATTAATGTTTGCTGATGTTAATAAATTCATTACCAGAGAAAAGATAAGTATTACTGAGACATCAATAATAAATATAATATTTTGTATTCTGCCAGGACCCAACACGCTTGCCGACGCACGCTCGGCACAATATTTTTTCAAGCTGTGTTTTTCTCGTACCATAACACAGACTTTGGTATAAAAGAGAGGACTCCAGCGGTCCTGTTACTCAATAACTCAACCGCAGTTCAACGCTACACATCTATTCGCAAATAATTTTCATCAGGTATGAATTTTAAATTGTTAAATAAATAAAATAAATAAATAAATAAAAATTGTATGAGAAATAAATTTTTGTACTTAATGTGTTATCTTTAAAATGTATTTTTGTAAAAATAATTTTACTATTGCTTTGTTAAGGTTAGCTTACCTTTTAAAAGCAAAGTAACTACAGAAATTAAGCCCATCGATGACGATTATTACAATAATCTTCAAATGATACCTAAAACAATGGTAAAATTTTTGTTAATTTTTTCGTCAAGAGCTTATTTTACGGCCGCAAATAATTATGCAAAATTATATGAATTTGGCAGAAGCTCAACATGAAGTTCTTCGTCTTTCTATGACCTGTGGCCGTGGCCATCGACCGCCCAAACTCCTGTCTGATTATGAATTTTTTATACTAAATTTTGGATTTTTGACATGGCATCTTCCATTTTAATATTAATCAAAGTATCTTTAAAATTTCGCAGAAACTCAACATGAAGTTCCTCGTCGTTCTATCCGCTGTCCTGGCCGTGGCCCTCGCCCGCCCCGATTCATACAAGACCGACCACGATGGCCTGGATATCGAGGGCATCGTGAACAACCCCGAGGCCCTCGCCAAGGTCACGGCCTGCTTCCTCGAGAAGGCACCCTGCACCCCCATCGCTGCTGAATTCAAGAGTAAGTCACAATATACAGTGAAAAAATGCGATTGAGGCATTAAGAAATAGAGATAGATCTGCGAGAATATTATGATACTTCTTAATTCGCTTCCTCACTGGCACATTTGCCTGTAATGTAACAATAATGTCTCATTCTCTCACCTGTAATGGATTTTCCTAGGCTCCATTTTGACAACTGACCCTTTCTTTCTCATCATTCGTTGATATAATGTAGGGTACAATATTTTTACCGAGTTACTGGTTTACATTACGGGTCCCAGCAACGCAGTTCTTTACATTCTCTGAAAAACGCTCCAATCTGAACAACCTTTCCAGTAAACAAATTAAAACATTTCTTTGCGCCATTTTGTCATATTTGCTAGTCCATTTTTACATGATCGGCACTAGACAATTTTCACTTATCCTTTCACAATACGACTTTATATTACCTACTAGTATTTACCGATAATAAAAATTTTAAAAGCCTCCGTGATATACGACTGAAAGACAGAGAATAATTTGATCTTAATCTAGTGTACTTAACAGTAACCGTACCTTTTATTGCAGGCGTTTTGCCCGACGCGACCGAGACCGCTTGCAGCAAGTGTACCGCCGCCCAGAAGCACATGCTGAAGCTGTACCTGCTGAAGGTCCGCGAGACCGCGCCCGACGACCTGAAGGCCCTCAAGACGAAGTACGACCCTGACTCCAAGCATATCGACGCTCTGATCGCCGCCATCAAGGACGCGTAAACTGAACTAGATCAAGCTAAAGATGATGTTATTGTGATTGTGAGAGCCTGTGTGAAATAAATAATTTTAAGTTTAATGTGTGTTATGACTTCTCAAGATCTTTAGGCGGCCGATCTAATTCTTTTTCCTACAAAATGATAAGAAAAACAAAATATTACATACATGAACTCGAAGACAAAACCCTTCAGTTTGGTAGGGCAAGCTATATTAATTTGGGACATGTAAAAATGCCCTGAAAAGAACCTATACATAATGAGTTTGAATTCACTGTAAAACAGTATCTAAAAAAAGTTAAAAAAAACATTGTTTTTGGCAAAGGAACAAACGGATCACGTGTTTTAGGGGAACTTGGGGGAGTTACAAAAAATAAGTGAAATCAATGAGGTAACCTATCAAAAATAGGAAAAATTTAAATTCCTACCAATTAATGAGAAAAAAATTTTGATGACACATCAATTTTCGACCTAAAAGTTTTTAAATAGTTTAATAACTAGTTATTTAGGTATGTACATTTTCTGAAACTTTTCAGTTTTTTTTAATTAGCTTTTCAACCCCGATGATCATAATGATCAAGATAATTTTCAAATTTTTTTACTCAAATGTAAAGTTAGGTAAGTATACCTGACTAAAAACCAGGAAAACGTTGTTAAAATCCTCGGTTCCAAAGTTCATTTGGATTGCACTTTGATATGATGATTGTTTAGAGGTGCGTTAAAAAGACGTGTAATACCTACTCAACATTGTTACAAATGATTGGCATAGCAAATAAATAATTATTTGGATTTTACACAGCATTGCAACCAGCGCTATATTTATTTTATTTATTTATAATACAACATGAGATGCCACAGTGGTTAGCTCGATGTGCATCCCTACTATGAATAGAGCTTTTAATTTGCTCAGTTGCCCTACCCTTTATAAACTCACACATAAAATTTAACCGGAGCAGTGATCTGACAATAACGATTCTGTTCATGCTCACAAATGATTGTATGCGCGGCGGGCATCAAACTCGCGACCTCTGGCATGGTAGTTTGTTATGCCTATAGGAACTACCGGACGTTGGACAGTACGTAACATTTTTTTTTAAATAGTCTCGTTAACCCCTAGTAGTAATCTAAATTATACTTGTGTCACGATTCAACACAATAGTCCAAAAACGGCGGGATGCGAACCCGCATAAATACATAGAAATAATCAAAATAAAAAAATATCTATATTTCTTTAGAGACTAAATTAGATTAGTTTTTTAAAATTGTCAAATTAAATGCCCTTACCAGCGCTTTGAAGCAAACATTTGGCAAGTGCTATGAAGAAGTGCCGCAACAAACTCAGTAACTACTGCCTGCCGTTTTAAAATAGAAAAGTAAGGATTTCATATAATTCAGAAGCAAATTACTTTACTTACAACCATAGAGGCTTACAAGTCTTACAACGCATTCTCGCTGGTTGATGAAGTATAGGAATGACAATAATGTCCATAATTCCCCAATAACATGAAAACGTATAAACGAAAGATAAACGAAAATTGACATTTCAGTTGCCAACGGCTAAAATATTTTAAAGTTGTCGAGGCCAAATCCTCTATTGGTTAAAAATTCATTGTTTGCATTCCTTTTCTATAGTAGGTATTTGGGACCAGTCCCATTTAGTTTTTACATATTAAGTTGCAACTTAGGTATCTCTTTCTTATTTATACCTAAATGACATCAAACTTATGTTAGGTAAGTATTAAATTAGATAAAATAAATAGTGCATCTGGGCACTCGGCATAAAATGATCATATTATACATTTTTAGTTTTAGGTCTTTTTTTCTTCGTAGATAAAATTAGCAAATAATTTTATGAAGAGTGAAACACGAGTAACATTTTTTATTCGAGAACACAACCAGGAAAAACTTCAATATGAAAAAGACCCTGCAATCTTTGTAACATAACCCAACTCAATCATTGCCCCAGTCATGAGAATGACACTAAGAAGGTGATAAAGTAATTGAATAATGCACAAGAGGATGAATGTGACTCAGCGAGTACAAAGTGGTCAAAACATGTAGCGATCACAAGTGCTATGATAAAAATAGAGACAGAAAACTAGTATTGCAGTAATACGACAGAATTGTGGCTACTAATTAATTTTGGTGGCATTTTACTAAAATTAATGACATTGGCATAGTTCCTTGATCGCCCAAATCACTTAGGTGTTAGATGATTAGGAAGCTGCACTCATTGAGGTCCCTGTTAACCGCCGTAAGGAAATCCAAACATCGGGGGAAATTGAGACAGGTTTTGAGTTCTATGAAATTCTATGAAGGCTTTTTATCAAGGACATGAACTTCAGCAATTAAGAAAACGACTACAATATTTTTTACAACAATTTATCAATGTATCGCGTTAAAACCTGTTTAAATTAATTCATTTGTGCAACGGGAAAGTTTAAAATTAATTATAACAATTTATTAATCAAAACACTAATCACAGGACCAAAAAAATTTGGAGCTCTACAAGGTCGTATTCTTATACCACTCCTATTACTGTTATCAATAAGTAAGTAAGAGAGAAGAATCTGCTTAACGGGATATCAATTAAATTAATACAGATTTTTTTAAGTTTGCAAAATAAATTGATGAGAATTGATTCACAATATTAAAATTGTTTATCGTTAGCCAGAACCCCACACGCCTGCGGGCGCACGCTTGACCAAATATTGTTTTCAGCGGTGCAAAGAATTTTGGTCGGACGATGACACGGGCTGCGGTATATAAGGATCTCAGGCCATCCTGTTATTCAATAACAAAACTGCACTTCAGCTTAGAGTACCAGTCCACTCGGAATTTTAACAGGTATGGTGTTTAAAATTGTCAATTATTAATAATATTTAAAAAGGGATTTTGCTATTATAAATCAGTTCCATAATCAAAATCATTGTTTGTTTCATTAGTGGGTACAAACGCCTTTTCTTCTCTAGTAACTTTTAGAATTTGAACCGTACAGAGGTCACAAAATAATTCAGCCCTTATTAAACTCATGAATTTACATAAATCATATTTACATTTCCCTGTCTTTGCCAAAAATGAGTTTACTGATATTCATGCAAGAATCCATACCTTTTCCAGAATCCCAAGATGAAGGTCCTCGTGTTGTCTGCTGTACTAGCCATCGCTTTGGCAGCTCCTTACAGCACCGACAATGATGACCTGGACGTGGAAGCTATCGTGTGTAACCCGGAGACCCTTTCGAAGGTCACTCAATGCTTCCTGGACAAGGGACCCTGCTCTGAAGTTGCTGCTCAATTCAAAAGTAAGTGTTTAATATTAGCCGGTTTGCAAAGTGGACCATATAATCTGTTAGCAATACATTTGAAAATTTTATTATTGAAGGTGGGGTACCTAGACATACTAATTGACGGATTTACTAGTTATTGGGGAGAGAACTACTAGATAAGAGTATTCGAAGGTACTAGTATAAACTACAAAATACAGCATAGTTGCAGTGGTAATAGACGTTATTCATTATAACAAGGTTGTATAGTCTGAAAACTGTACAGTAAATTATGTCGAAATATTACTATTACCTAATACTCAAAATGGAATTTCTGAAATTTCGACATTGGTTTGGAATAACATGTCATGATATCACAATCATTTTGAATAAAATGCTATGGGTACCTAAATAGTGATAGCGTTAGCTGGTGTTAGGCCTCAGCCTCGAACTTAGCGGGCAGCGGGGCGGGAGCGGCGGCGGCGCTGGAGCGGGGCGGGCAACGCAGACCCGTTCTCGAAACAAGCGGGCAGCTTGCGCGGCGCTCTAGTGGCGAAGTGTTGTGTTCGGGGTTGTGTTGTCGAGATATTTGTTTTTATTCGCAAACGAAATGTCTGAACAACGGCGACAATTTTATTTCGATTCAAATTTATTCCTAACGCCTGATTTATTATGGGCAAAAGAAGGAGTGCGCTGCCCGCTCGTTGCCCGCTCCCTCGCCGCTGCCCGCTCGTTGCCCGCTGCCGCGCCGCTGTTTTCGAGAACCGGTCTATTTGATTTTACGCATAAGATCCTGCCGCTCCCGCGCCGCCGCCGCCTCCGCCCCGCTGCCCGCTAAGTTCGAGGCTGAGGCCTTAGTTCCTCACAATCATTCGTGTTTAGTCAATATTGCATGTTAGCACAAGGTAGGCGTTATACTCGTATAAACTCGACAAGGAATAGACAACTCATCCACCAATGGACTACCTCAAGATGAAATGTCGGTGATCTGAACAATATCTTGCTTGCATAATTGATATTTAATTTAAGATTTTAAACTTTCGCGTTCCATTTCAACTAAAATTGAGACACACGGGTCTCAATAACAGACAAGTCGACTTATGACCACGACTGAAACCATGAGTAGGTATATTATGTAGCTTTCTGTCAAAATGTCGCATTGAGGCCCGTGTTTGTCTATTTTAGTTAATATTGAATTTTCACAATATCCTATTATCCATTTCAGGCGTGTTGCCCGACGCTACTGCAACAGCGTGCAGCAAATGCACCCCAGCTCAGAAGCACATGCTGAAGCGTTACCTGCAGCAGGTCAAGGAGACCTCCCCTGATGACCTTCAGGCCCTAAGAGAGAAGTACGACCCTGACTCCCAACACATTGACGCTTTGGTCGCCGCTCTGAAGGACGCGTAAACGACGTGTGTGTTACGTTTGTAAAGTTATTTCTGTGAAATAAAATGTTATGTTTAGAAAAAATGTGTTCCTAACTTTTATTGCGGTCTGCAAAATTGCCACAGGTTAGATTAAAGCTGCTCGACCCCAGGCCCGCTCGAAAGAATTTTAAGTGACCCGCGCAAGTAGGTACTTGTGGTTTAATCTTAATAATTGAGTTTTTATTGAGCTTGTCTTGAGACTAACTGAAATAGGAAATAAAAGTGGTCCGTCGTTAACGACTGAATTCACTATTGACCCGACTCTTCAAAAGGTTGATCAGCCCTGGGTTAGATGATTTTATGAAAGAAGCTGAAAGGACAAGAAAAATAAAACATAATGTAATGTAGTAAATCATTAAGTTAGTAATAAAATTAAAAAGTAACAAACTTTAGTTTACGAGTAGTTCAAATAACTTTAGGTACCTACTTATAATAAAAATAATTTACCAGTAAAAAACTAGCAGAAACTTTCTTTATCTCTAAATTAATTGCCTGTAGGTATTTATTTTACTATAATTCATAAATAAGGCATGATCTTGTCAAAGTTACCTGTGACACTAAAATCTTTGGGAAAGTTAAACGATCATTGGACTAGACATGTAACGAAATTAATTATAAGAAAAGACTAGAAAATTGTTTAAAATATTATTAATATTCGTAAAATCAATGTCATAGACATATCCAAGGCCATCGTGTGCTTTTTGGAAACATTAGGCTTTGCTTCAACGCTAATGATATTATAACCATTGAATCACCCCAATTACATTCAGTGTTTCGGTATTATATAAAATTGTACATTTCCGCTAAAATATACTATATAATGTTTCGGAATTGCTATTTAGTTATTCTGTCAACTGATCCTCAACAGGCAAAGAAGACTCTATTTGGTAAGACCTACTTTTAATAATTCTGATCTAGATTTTTAGCAACCAGAAATATTCCTAGATAGTGCTGCTATTTAACTTTAACCTCTCTCTACGAATGTTGGTTATTAGATGATTCCTTTTCTTCCCTTTCCCATTAACATTTTTTTCTATAATTGCATGTAGAGCATACCTTTTTTGAGGTATTCTCGTATATTCATATAGAAACATAGAAGAATAACTTGTATCTATCACTACTTTCTTCTTGATCAACGATTTAAAATTCGATCTAGGTAGGTAGCTGTTATAATTTTAATTTTAACACAATTACGAGTACGAGGCTGAAGCAGATACGAATACATACAGGTGGTACCTATCTAGGTCTCATCGGCTTTGGGTTGCCATCAATGAAATTATCAAACAAGATTATTTTATTACACTTTTGTTCTTCCTTAGCTAAACCCAAAGATGAAGGTCATCTTCTGTGCTGTGCTGGCTGCGATGGCGCCCCTAGTGCTATGCTACGATGAAATCTACGATAAAATAGATGTCGATAAGATCATAAACGATGACGCCCTCTTCACTAGCTACCTTAACTGCTTGCTGGACAAAGGGCCCTGTGATCAGGAGCATTCTCCCGAGTTTAGAAGTAAGTTTTTGTTTTGATTATTCTATAAACTCGTTATTTTATCCATTCATACTAGTTAATCTACACTATTGGATATTTAACCGCTAAATGTTTATGCTACCCAGATCAAAATAAATTAAATGCCCCTGCCTGTAATTTCAAATTAAACTTTAAAAAACTTGACTTTGAAAAAACCCTTGCAACACACGGATTCCATTCCCACAAAACCGGGATCAATATTCAATAGGACCCAGACCACTTTTACTGTAGGCAATTTTCCGCACTATTTATGGGTCGCCATAATATGATACTCACCAGATATTCCACATCCCAAATTACTTAATTCAATCTAATGACATAATTTCAATCTTATTTTCCACAGAACTGCTACCTGAAGTGATAGCCACAGCATGCGCCAAGTGCACTCCAATCCAAAGGCAGCACGTCCGAAAGACCGTGAAAGCAATCACAGATAAGAAGCCTGAAGAATTCAAGGAGTTCATATCTAAGTACGACCCCGACCACACCCATGAAAAGGCTTTCACTGCCTTCGTTCTCGCTACCGATTAAATGTATAAACAATGCCTGTATTACCAATTTAATTATGGGTACGAGAACCCGTAGACTACTGAATTGGTAATACGAATCAAGGAATGATTTCTTCAAAGTGATTTTGTCTCTATGATATGATTTAAAACAGACAGAGTAAGTTGGATAAATGTCGCTGCTGCGTCGCCAGATCCTTTTTCTTGGCTTGGACTTGACTTAGTTAAGATCAAAGATTGCATAAACTAAGCTTGTCAGGTGGCTATGGAGTCTTATCTCTTGTCTCATCTATCCGAAAGGATACTTTGAGCAAATAAATGACACCCAACGGTAGATTCTAAATCACTTTAAAGATTTATTCCTGAACTTGTTCCTGAAATGAAACACCTGTTACTTTACTTCGGTCAATTCCAACGATGGCGTTTGCAAGGGATTGTTAATTTTTAAAAGCCTTATAAAATGTAAATCCCGTTGGCTGAGACTGGACCAAAGTGTAGTTTCAAAACGACCATTATGTGGAGCATTACATTTTAGCAATATAGACTGTGCAATGTCACTTCCTGCTGTTTTATTGTAACCTTTAATTCGCTTTCAGAATCAATGATGGTTTTAATATGAATATTCACTTCTTCTGTAGGTATGATAATAATTTCATGGAAAGCTAAAATATCGGATCCAATTTAGCAGCTAACGTTACTTACACGGCATTCATTTAACTTTTTATTAGGGGACAAGGTAAGTATACAGCGTGCATTATTCTTGCTGCACAGGAGTTGCAGTGGTGGAAATGAGATGTAGGAAACTTTTCGTAACAAAAACAAATCATATCAACCACTGTTTAAACATTATTGAGTGCTTTAAAATGTTTTTGATTTTATATCAAAATTCACAGTTCAACCAGTGCAGCTCAACAAACTTATGTTCAATGAACCGTACAATGCCTGTTCGTTCTTTATTTCTATTGCAGTTTCAGCCACACCATGCTTATCCCAGATTAATAAACCACCATGGCCGTGACGTAAATCACATGATGCAGAACGGTTGCGCCCGCGCCGTCAGATTATGTGACGGCTTGCACAATAGTTACGTGCCGGCTGCGCAACGGCCGGCTGACACGAAAACACTGCGCAACTCCTAATTGCACGCTCCTCTCTTTCATTAGCTTGAGCTGATAATCATGCAGTTTGCATACAGAGACATTTTTTATCTTTATAAAAAATATCAAAGTAAAATAGAGTACTAAAGAAGGTACATAGAGTAAGGCAATAATTACTGGCGCCTGCCAAGACAGCTTGTTCATAAGAAACTGAAGAAGAAATTCAGGACTTCTTTTTGGTTCTTGGTTGGATGTGATTAACTGATAATTATGGCAATTTTAATTAAGTTTAGGGGGTTGGTTAAAGTACTATAGAGCCTATGAAGTGAACAAGACTTAAGACTAGTTAAAAATGATACGATAGACAGGACTTCAAAATAATTTTGACGAATAAAATTTAAATGGTAAAAGAAAAAAATATCAAATATTATTCAACTCTTTATTACAATATCAGTCAACATTCATGATCATCATGATATCAATTTCATTTTAATAGCATTTAAGACCTAAATACTTAAACTAGAAGGCCAATCACATTTTTTGGAGTATAATTACTATTGAATAATAAATAACAGAATTCGATTGATGGTAAGACATCAAAAAATTTAAAAATTATAAAAAGGTAATAGAGAGCCATGTAAAAGAGATTCACAAAAACTAATTTAAAGTAAAATTACAAGTAAGTAAAAGTAATTAATAAGTCTAAAGACATTAAGGGAAAGTATTTGTGGAATGATACTGAAGGTGGGCCAACAAACTAAAATAAATTAAAAGAAAAGTCAAGTCAGATTCAGCAAAATGAGTTCAGACATTTGCTGAAGGATCAAAATTTTATGTAAATGTATGCAACTGCTCATATAGCAGTTAACTCGTCCAGAAAATTTAAAGCTATTAGAAGAATTATTCGTTCCATGGTTGTATCTCTATAATATTCATATCTAGTGATGCATCTACTTCATTTATCGAATACTGAATCAAAAGAACTTTTTTCACTCTCTTATGGTCTAATCACAGTAAAATTATACATCAATTGAAACGAATAATTCTTGAGTAAAAATAAGATTGTTTTCACGCTTACAATCCATTGTAGTCATGAAAAAGCGATTAATCTCGTGACCTAACGACTCTATGTAACGTTAACGATGGGTGAAGAAAAGAAAAGTGCCTGCATTTTGGCTGAGAATTTTGGACTTAATTGCTCTGAATAAACTTGTCGAAGCCAGCGCGATGCTTGCCTGAGGGGTCAGTCTTCTTCACCAACTCTTCCCACTGCTTCGGGTGCTTCTGTTGGATGGCTCTGATCACCTTCCTGATGTTGTTCTTCTGTTTTTCTGTACACTTGGCGCATGTGGTTTCAACTGCTTCAGGGAGGGCCTCTAGAAATTGAAAATTATTTTTATTAGAGAGGCTGGAAGATGTAATTGGTATGTTCCGGTTGTTGGAGATAAAATAGCCAGTTCCTCTGTACTTGAGGATTCCGGGTGAAGCTTGCTTCTACCTTCGGCCTGATCATAATTTTTAATCAGGTAAGATGCAAGCTAGAGCTTCCTCATTGTGGATAAAAAAAAAGTAAGCGCAATAGGTATTGCTCAAATATTCTGAGTAATGTAGTTAACACGGTTAAATTTCGATGCTTATCCTGTTCTGATCTGTCTACCTTATTTTGTTGTTTACTGTTATTTCATAAAGATATTGCAATAAAACAAACGAAATTGGAACAAACAAACATTACGTTGCCGGCATTATCCGCGGAACGTGTTTTGGCAGTCAGCTGTTAAAAAAATCTTTTTACCACAGAGAAGCGGTTTTAGCGGTAACATAAATTACTTCACGCGACCCTGACATAAACCTCTTTATGTAATAGTTCGAATGGACACCAGTTATAATTAAACTCGATTGTATAATTCTGTATAATTGAGCTTATTAATATGTAAAATAACAGTAAACAACAGTTGATGACCTTGACATAAAAATAAAACACACATGATATCTTCTGATGGTCGTGTGTTGATATTATAAACATAGACGATGGTAATAATTTTTACGAAATAGTTCAAGAATTTAAAGATCAAAAAATCTAACACAAACAAGCCGTAGGGCTAGTGAATTGTCAAAAAAAAAACTCGAATATACATTTTGGAAATCTTTTTTCTTTCTCACAGTCAATTAAAAAGGCGAAGTAGGTAAGTAACAGGAAAATAACTACTGCTATATTAACTAAGATACTGACCAAGATTTATAATATTACGGAATAAGCATGTTTATACATTGAACCAATTACTATTTAATCACGAGGTTATTGTACCGGCGCGTTCTGTTGAAATACCGGATTACACTACTTTGATTTCGGGGAATAACAATTCTCAAGTACAGTCGACAGCACGTAAACTAACAAAATTACGAATTTTCTCATTACATTTTGATGAACGTACGAATACGAATGCAATGATACGAATGAAAAATTTAAATTACGAAGAAGATGATCTGATTGAACTGGAAGGATTCCAAATTTCCAAACTAAGTCATTGATAACTTTATAAGGATGCAAATTCAAGTTTTAGCTTCTAGGAGATAGAAAAAGATGAAGGCATTTCCACTAATTGATTGTGTGATAAAGATACCAGTAGGTAGGTACTTATTATGTTATCTGTGATAAAGGTAAGAATTAACTTACTTCTAAAATCAGCTCCTTCTGGTGTGCACCTTCCTTTTTCCAAGAAGCAGTTGATGTAAGCCTTCAGGAGACGGTCGTTGGAGATCAGGGTCTCTACGTCGAAGTTGTCGTATTTGCTGTTGTATTTGTCCGCAGCGAGGACCACGACCAGGCAAGATAAGAATACTACGGCCCTCATGATGAAGTTCCTTCTGGAAGGTTGAATGGAGAACTTTGAATAGATAGATCACCCAAATAAAAATAACTTACTAATAAGTAAATGATCAGTTAACGACGAATATTCCTTTTTCTGATAAGGAAAGACCGAAGACAATGACGAATATTCCTTTTTCTAAGAGACTGGAGACACTTCTAACAATGGGCAAGATTACGATGAAACAAAGACCGTGCGTCGTTCCGAATAATAAACGTAAATCTGCTCAGGAGTTTCAACGGTCATAGAATATGTGATACGAATACTAATTTTGAGCTGGTCAATGTCAGCACAACTGATGATGTCAAGTACTCGTGTCGATCGACAGGACGATGAATACGAGTATAATAGCTGATCTAAGTTTTAGAGTTAAAAAATTCAAAATTTCAATATTTTATGTTAATGGCAAATTGATTCAATAATAAGTAGAAAAATTGATCAAATTGTAGAGTTTGAAAGTAATAAATGAACATAAAATTTATCCTGAACATGATCCAAAACGATCCTTTGGTTCGAAAAACTTTAACACTTGTTCGTAGCCGTTTTGTTTGTCAGCCTTGCACTGACTTTAAATTTGCATTAGAGCTGAATCACTAATATCACCACTCAGTTTTATCATGAATTCATTAAAATAGCACAGCACACGAAAATCTTGACACTATTATACGGAATGCAGTTCGTTCACCCACCTTTTACTCTGTATAATGGGCCCAAAGAACTAGCATTGCCAGAAAGCGACAGTGGCTTATATTGACGACGTATACCACTACCTTAGTGGGCACTCGGGTCAATCTTGCAATACTTGATGCAAGCGAAAGTGAGCCGTCACCCGAAAATCACAAGAGTCACAATAGTTTCGATGTTAAGGACCTCCCTTCGAGCTCAACTGGTGAAATGTCTTCAGGTAATGTTCAAATATATGACATGTTGCATATACTTACCAGGAAAGTGTGAGCAAATTTGAATGCTCTGCCTCTAATAAGGAAAATGGACGTCTGTTTCTTTTATGGTCCATGAAACATGGTTATAATGGGAAATAAATTGAAAACATTGTGGCCGGAAAATGTTATCCATAGAAACATTAATAGTCAATAAATAGAGAAGAACTACCTACTGACATATTAGTAACTTAAATGGGTAGTTGTGAAGATTTTAAAGGGAATTACCTACTGCTTTCCTCTCAGCTAGAAATAATCAAATCTTGTTATTGTGGTTAGCTCACTGCATGGTCTGCATGGTGGGTTGGACCACTAATGTACTCTGCACCCTAAATACTAGCAGTCTTGTAAATAACAAATGTGTTACTATGTACCTACTCTACATTATACATTTACTTATTATGTACCTACCTACTCATAAATTATACCGAAGTTCAACTAAAAACAATTCGACCTAGGTAAGTATAGATCGTTTCATTCACGAAGACGCGCCCCACCACTTTTTGGTCGAGGGAAGCGCGGATTACGTCATTATTGTAGTGTGCGTGTGCATTAATCCATGAGTGCACACATAGGTATAATATTCATTTGTGACATGAACAATTCGGTATCAACGTCAGCTGATTTTCACGGCACATGAGTAATGGATTCATTCAAAATTCTCAATACAGTACAAGTTTTAGGAAATATGAATGAATAAATACCTACTTCAGACAGTAATACTAATGTGGGACAAGAATAAAAGTGAAGGAACTTTGAAAAAATATCCATTGTTCCTACTCACACAGTCAATCGCTTAGGTATGGCACATTATTATTCGCGTGAATTCTTAGGCGATGAATGATTCAGAAGGTTTTATATTAGTTAGGTACTAAAGTTTGTTTAAACAGAACATAGGAATGTAACATTAATTAAAAAGAATAGAGTTCTTTACTTTCATATTTAAGCTTAAAATGTTTAAGCTTAGAATTTAGAATTTAAAAAAGAATTAAGCTAGCATCTATGTCTGAATAGAGAGTGAATAAATTGAAATACATTATATTATTGTCATTTTAACTCGTTCGATTTGTCTCATGTTAGGGAAATTTACTATGTAGCATTTGCAAAATCATTTTAAAAGGATCCCAACGATTTCAATTTCACCCTGTATTATGACCTACAAAATTAAATGATCAAAATTAATTTCATATCAATACTAACTACATTCTCACTGTAGAGAGATTCCTTAAATCTTTAATTCTACAATAATTCTTTAGGCATGCCTGCTATCGTACCTTACTAACATTGATGTGTACAAAGAAAAACATTCGCACTGAACAATTACTCTGTCAATCAAAGAACAATACACACATACCCTGTGGACCGATGACCTACTGAATGCAAACGAACCTTAACCCCTTATGTGGACGGGCTTCCTTATGATGATGATATTGAAACTCATATAAGTATTGAATGTCCAGCAGTGGACTGATGAAAATGATATATCTTTATTGCTACTACTACTCTAGAACTAAATTACATGTAGATAGGTAGGTAGGTACACAGAATTATAAAGTAAAAAGAAAAATAAAAACAAAAAAAAGAGGTTTAAAAAGTTACAGTTTAGCTCTAGTTCTGCCAAAAGGTACCAGTCTCAGCATGATGCTGATTACTGAGCTATATGATTATGTAACTCATAAGTATGACTTACCGCAAATACATTCCATGTAACTTATCGTAGCTTATACTCGTAGTAGGTTCATGTCTCCGCAATAGCCTTCTCAAACGTGTCGTAGTATTTGTTGTTTGGGTCCAGAAGCTTCTTCAGCTCCTCGTGGTTTTCTGGTAACAGCCGCTTGAACGCGTCAAAGGTGCGCCGAGCGAAGCTGCGCTGCGCAGGAGTACATTTACTGCATTTCGTTGCTACCACTTCTGGGAGCGCAACTGGAATATTGAAAAGTAATTGCTATAGATTCAAGTAGAAATACAATAAAACATTTATTTTTAGGAAATAAAGGGTTTGCTTGACGCTTGGTACTATTTATTTGTTGAATAAATTATTAATAATTGGGTAAAGAGATAAACTGAGGGAGGCCTTTGTTCAGCAGTGGCTGACACGAACAAAAGAGATAAACTGAAATAAGTACGAAAAATTTCTTTTACTTAAAAGATAAGTGTGCCTTGCTTTCAAATGAAAGATCTGAACTTAAAAGATTTATTAATAAACAACCATAATCAGACTAAGCACTGTGATATCTATTTTATTTATGTAGTAAATAATAGAACTGTTATTTTGCAATTAAAGTTTATAGTTATATTTGATGTACTGTACGATGGTTTTTCCACGAACTCGTTTAAATTCAAATAGCATAACCATTCATTACTAATGCTAAAACAAACAAAGAAATCAAATAGTATTAGAAGTATCGCTTACTCTTGAAGACCCTTCCGATGGGAGTACACGGCCCTCTATCGAGAAAGCAATCCATATATTTCTGCAGCAGCCGAGGATTCTGCACCAGAGTGTCAATGTCAAAATAATCGTACTTCCGGTCGTAGGTTTGAGTCAGAACAAACGAAAACAAAAGATAAAATTGCAAAATCACTATTTTAAAATTCGAATCGATCATAGCGGAATTAACCTGTACGTACGTAGACTGGTACGAAATGACGTGCTCTCTGCCCATCCTCTGTTTAAAGCACTCATAACCAGTCTAACCTTCGCCAAGCATAATATTTGTATGAGGAAGCCGAACAAAAAATAGGACGCTTGGAACAATCTAATGCACGGGCCTTGGACGTGCCGAGTGCAGCTGAATTTAAATCTATTTACATTTTTTGGACAATGATGAATGCTCATTAAAATATATTTTTTGGTAAGCTATTTATAAATGCTGAAGAGTTTTTATAAATATCTACGCTGCCTGCATTCATGCTAAAGGCCGAGGAGCTTGGGATGCATTATTGTTGCATGTTTCTTTAATTTTGTATTTTTATTTAATAACACTCAATTTAAAAATTGGTTTATTATTTAAAATTTAAGGTTTATAAAGAACAAAAGGATTGACTTTTGGATCATTTGTCTATCAAGCAGTCTAAAATACGTGTTATACGTGAGGATCTTCCTAAATAGGAAGATTCCGAGCCATTTGATCAGTGGGGCGAGTGTAGGTTCGCCAAATCAACCATTTGCCTCTGGTAAATAGAAGAAGGTCATGCTCGAATCGAGACTAAATAATGATGATGATTTAGGAAGTTAATAAGGACATAATTACCCCAAAGTAAGTAAAACAAAAATATGCTCTACACATATTAAATCTCAAAAAATAAGGCCAATATCTCCGTAAGAATAAATAAGCACAATTACCTTTGAGGTAGACATAATAAAACAAAGCTATTTTTAAAACTAGCTAGATAATTGGTTACATACGTTTATAAAATTAATTTATTAATATCGACTGACCGCAATCGATACAAAATCTGATACTAATACATATTATTTACATGACGTTAACTGACTGGCTGGCTGGCTGGTTTTCGTTCTTCTAAACAACAGTTTTTTGCTGATCGGTAAGCTCAAAAAATAAACTGACTATACTTACTTATAGATTAACGTCACGATGTAAATTATTCTATCAAGTTAACTTTTAGGGTTCCGTTCCTTAACTTAAAAGTAAAAAGGGTTGATCACTTTGTTGTCCATCTATCCAATGTGTCAAGACTCCTTTATTCACAAGCGCATGCAACTTTTGCCTCTACAAAGTTATATTTTCAGCTGTATACTATTAATAGAGATGTATTTCAACTGCAACGTTAAGCTTGTTTTATTTGAACAGTGTGAATGGAAAAAGATGTAAGCAAGTGAGAACATTACAGAAAACCTCTGAGCGCTAGCCTGATTCACACTTGGCCGTACTTTAAAGTACTGCATTATTCAAGTGTACCTACTTGTACGCGAGTATCACTTCATACATACTTAATTACACGTCGTGGTTTGATATTAATTTAGCCTTTGGTCTCAGAGGATGAACACAATCAGTTAAAAGCGTAGGTACTTTTTGAAGCTTGCCAAGGCTTTTGAGCAAGTATAATTAAGCGCACAAACTAAACAACGGACCTAGACTTTTAAATAATTATGGTTTGTTTGGATGTGCATAATCGCTATCACTAAAATCTAAAATATGTTTCACTTTCAATACTTTACATAGTACCTAATACTTACTTCAATAAATTAATTGTAGAGCTTTTTATTTTGATTTCAGATAGATTAAGAAATTAGAAAAAAAAATTTTTTACTGATTGGCCCACCGTCTATTTTTGTGATTATTATGTAAGAAACCCTTCATGTTCAACTGGAATTAAAGTAAGGCAAGGCACCGAGAATTAGAATCGCCTTGTTATTTACAGTTACTGTTTCGACGAAACGAAACATTGCAGTGTATAATTGATAGGAACTCTACGTGGCGTGTTGCTACTTTTCTAGAAGATTCCATGGAATTAGTTAATTAAATACTTGTATGGTTAGAGGGACTTAATAAAATGATCAGTGTATAACATTAATTTAGACATTTCTGTAATTGGTAACCAGATTCGATACAAAGTTAAATAAAGTTACATAAATTGAGCACTCATCAAAGTCTTAATTTCACAACCAATAAAATATCATTATCTAGTAATTCCTAAGCATTGATGGCCTTATCCAAAGCGGTGAAGAGTTTGTCTTCAGGGTCATACTTCTTTTTGAAGGCTTCAAAATCCTGGGGCAGTTTCTCCTTCAGACCGTCGAGGAATCTCTTGAATAGATGCTTCTGCGCATCGGTGCATTTGGCACAGGCCTGCTGGAAGGCTTCTGGTATGTCCTCTGTAAGCACAAACATAGGAAATGTATGAATAACCATGAAATATAACATTCATCATCATTAACAGGCTAGGATATCAATGCTGATATAGACTTCCATGGTCCCTGAAAGCTGCTTACATCCAGCAGGGTTTTAATACCATTATCAAGTTTTCGTCCAAGATATAGATAGTTAAGGCTGAGTTGCACCACCTAACTTTGACCGTAACTTTAACGATAACCGGTATTTTTTGTATGGAGTTTGACAGATTTTTGATGTTTGAGAAAATTTAAGTAAGATGGTGCAACCCAGCCTAAAAGTACAATGATAAATTTTTATCGACATGCAATAATATAATCAACGTATAAAAACTTTTCTGCTTCAGCGGTCACCAATCATTTGCTCTATGTACCCTGCCTTTTTTATCTGGGATAGGAGGCAAACGAGCAGACGGATCACCTGACACTTTAATACGGATTAGTACCAATATTCGATTTCGTATAGTTGTCGAACATACTTACACCCGTATTCACAAATATTACTATGAGATTCCACAGTGCGCGTGGACGCACAGGGTCCCAAAACCTAATTCATATACAATACTTTAGTGGCAGAGTGACACACAGAACCAATCACAGGGTTCTATTCAACGCTATGCGTTCGACTTCGCATAGCGTTGCTGCTTCACTTAACCAAGCATCGTTTGTAAATATGGGTGTGCTCCTCATAGCATAACAATGTATCATAAATCTTAGTTAGTACGGCAGATCCATTTGTAATAAATATGTCAACAATCCACACATGAATGGCCTATTTGTTGTTCATTACCACGTTTTCCTTTAATGTTAAATTGATACTTATTCTGTACTTTATTATGTTGTTTATAACTAAACCAAAATAATTATTTACCAGTAACTAGTGAATAGAACTCAACAATGAGATTGTTTGTCCCATGTATCCTCTTAAGTTATCTATCTACTCTATTTTTATCGTCTCTATCATTATCTTTTACATATCAAATAACTTAGTCATGTGATTTTCCAGCAGAGTAGAACAGAACCATGTCCACTTTTCCCGTTAAATATGCGAATATACGTATGATGGAGCATGGGGGTGTGGACCTAATCGTCCATTCGCCTCTGGTTAAATGGAGAGCCACCACACCCACCCACAAGGTGGACCGACGACCTCATAAAGGTAGCGGGAAGGCGCTGGATGCCGGCCGCCACCAACCGGCCATTGTGGAAATCATTAGCGGAGGCCTATTTCAGCAGTGGAGGTCCTATGGCTGAAAATGATGATAAATAATAAATATCCTTGGACATTTTACACTGCGCCTCTAGTCCCAAACTAAGCAAAGCTTGTACTATGGGCACTAGACAAGGGATATAAACATACTTAAATACTTTTTTTTTGTAAATACATACATAATACATAGAAAACACCCAGACCCGTCACAGAAATTAAAATTTATCATTTCAATTTCTGCCCGGCCGGGAATCGAACCCGGGACCTCTCGGCATAGTAGTCCGTTCTGAACCACTACACCAAACGGCCGACAATGATGATGAAATTGCAGAGGGTCGATCATGTTCCTGTAGTCATGTATAAATGACCTAATGGTGATCAGAATGATGATGATGAACTTACTCTTAAAGTCCCCAGACACCGCATCACAGTCGTTCTTGTCCAAGAAGCAGCCAGAGAATTTCTGCAGCTCTTCTGTGTTGTTCACCAGTGCTTCGACGTCGAAGTTGTCATTCTCACTGGTGTATTTCTCATCAGCGATGACCACGCCCACCAGGAATGCAACTAGCATGATTGTCTTCATCTTGACTGGGATTTGGTCTGTAAAATAGTAATCATTTTATTTACTGATTTTCTTCCGCCACTTTTTCTTAACACCCCGATATGTAGACTAATTTGGGACGTGTATTAAATGCCCTTAAAATACAAAAAAAAACGAAATTGAATTAACTTTTTGATTTGTAGCGCCAAACATAGCCGCCATTTTCGTATTCGAATTCTAAGGCTGAGTTGCACCACCTAACTTTGACCGTAACTATGACGATACTCGGTGGTTTTTGTATGAAGTTTGACAGATTTTTGACGTTTGTCAAAGTTAAAGTAAGATGGAGCCTAATAGAATCAAATGAAACATTGAAGTTTGTAAAAAATCCACGTTTTTATTTTCAACAAATACAATTAACCGAGTATTATTATAGTTATAATGTCAATTTGGCTCCTTGCCTGCTATTTCAACAATAATTAAAATGCAAATGAGAAGTTATTAAAATTACGAAAATATGCAGATTTAGGAGTAATAGAAAAATAAACTAGACTGTGCTAAATAATAATTAGTGGTAATTAGGTATTTACAAAAAACAAATCAACTAAATAAATAAAGGTCAATTAAAAGCATTTGTGTCTATTATTATTTCGGAGTCTTAGATAAAAAGATCGGTCTCCTTGGATACGCAACTAATGAGATAAACGACTTCTATTTTTTTTTTTATCATTTTGCCTTATTTATTTAGGTACATTCACAAGAAAAGCTAAGTATGGTTCTTAACAACAATAATAACATATTGAAAATTCACTTACCTATCTCTAAAAATAGTTTTATTCAAGAAATCGTAAAATTTAATTTAAGTTCCTCAAAAAATCAAAATGAAATTTATGTTGGGAACTTGTCTTACTCGTAAAAGCTCATAAGAAGTGTAGAGATTAGTGGAGTAAGTTGGTTGGGTCCATTATAACTGGGTTTCTACTTCTGGGCAACTCGTTTAGTATCTTTCGATCGGCAAAATGATTTAAGTTAAGGCTACATTTTAATTAAGTGACACTTACGTTTCGTTACACAGCGGTTTGTTACTAGCAAAGTGAGCAAAAGATCTGCAAATAATTATGTTTACAAACGCCATTCCTTTTATACTATCCAGTTCTGCAAGGTGAAACGTGCTAAGGATAATTTTAAAACGATCATATTTTTTGTCTTGGGATTGTCGATCGTGGTCGAAATAACAATTTTGGTTTTATTTTAAAAGGACCGAAAATATATGGCTGAAATGTAGAGATTCTTGCATTTTGCATTAAGTGATATGGACTGCATTAGTTAGTATTCATTCGCTGTGCGTTGTTGTCTTGGATATAATATGTATAGTTTTTTATGGATTTATCAGCTTTCGTATTCACACAGTAAAACGTGCATAAATTTACCTACTTAAATGCAATTATGATTACAATGTGTTACTTAGAAATGTGGTTTTCCATTGTTTAGGGTATTATTATTATGATAGAATGGATGGATTTTTACCAGTGTTTTCGCTTTTTGTCATAACTTTTTAAATCGAAATATATAGATTAAAGCCAATCTAAAAATAACGTTTTCCAATTACCTAAACCCAACAGAGCTTTCACGTAATGCCAATTTATTATAATTCGCCTCCAGTGGGAATGGAATTTACAACCAAAGGTGGCATTAAATGCAAAAAGTAGGTACTTACTTGTATGTCAGTCAAGTGCACTCTGCGACAGGGAAAGTTGCAATGCCCACCCTGCCCCAGACAACAGCGATTGTTCACCCGACACTTAATGTGTCAACCATCACTTAGATAATTACTGGTTTGCAAACACGAGTTCGTTATACATCAACAAAGATAAAGTTCGTTAGGGTTGTTAACCGCTATGTGATAGCTTCAAGAGTTGCCAACTTAGCTATTTTCAAGACTAGGGCGGCCCTACCAAAAATTGGTAGACAGGAACTTCAGTTGCCAGGATTTTTCGGTAAATTCTAGAATTTGGGTAAACATAAGACAGGACATCCTTAATTGTATTACGAGTAGGTACCTACAGATGAAGTTTACAGCCAAATCACAGAAACATCGTTAAATGATTTTATGAAACGTTTTTGTCGACTAGGGTCATCATCATTCATCATCATCAGCGTCTACATAATAATATCTAAATAATTCCGTAACAAAATGAAATGGTTTGTCGGCACAAGAAGCTAACGACTATGGTATCTTAGGAAGTTGTAATAAGTACTATTTTGTTCAATAAATATAACTTAAGATTTTGAATTTTTATTCGGATTTTACAAAAAACAATAATGTTTTAAAACCAGACCACGAAATGGCCAATGTATCCTAGACGTTAATGGGGCATGAAGATGGAAGATATCTGACTGATGTTTTGGGTTCCGTATCTCTTAAAACCTTTACTGGACCATTATTCGTTTTTGATCATTGACGCTCTTTCTTAGCAAATTGGAAGGATCAAGGATCGAGTTAAAATTAACATCAAATACTACTTGATTTTGGTCCACATCATCTTGAGGTATAAAAATAAAGCTTGAGTCATTTGCAGCATAATATTTAGATAATCGTCTGTAAAAACTTACTTATTGGGTAAATATTTATTCACATACAAGAAATAGGTTATACTGTACTTTGGAAGTTAATCAAAGTCAGCAATACCTTATGAGGGCAAAACCCGCAATCTTCCAGTCGACAGACCTTATAATTTTAAGTTGTTATTATTATCTCTAATTAGGTACTATTCTCATTTCATCTCCAATAGGCCTACGATGAACGCCACGATATTATTTTATCGAGGCCTTATATAGACATTTGTCATATAAAACATTGATAAGATTTTATAATAGCACGCAATCTTAGCCCAGTAGGCCAAAGATGCGCGCCGTGATAACTTTTATCGACGTCAAAATGTATGGGTAAAATCGATAAAATGGCGTGATAACCACTTATCGCGGCGCGCATCAACATACACAAATTAATAAAATTAAGCACTATTATGAACTTTAACACGGTGTACTCGTATAAGAGCCGCTTTACGAGCAAAGGTTGTAAATAAATCACAAGACTTAACTCAATAAAAATACGTAAGTTTCCTTTCTGGGTAATTGTAATTCCATAATCAGTTGGGTACATAATAAATATACAAATGTGACTCATGACGTCATTGTTAATCGTAATGACGGAATTTCACAGTCAGTATTTCCAGTCACGGTGTTTATTATAACATAATGAGCATACAACATTTTTTTTTGTTGTTTACCCAATGATTACTACTCGTATATCGTTGCGTTTACCAGAACAACCGGTCAAACTTAAACTCCTTGGGAGAGGGAAGACTATGTCCGGCTGTGGACATCCTATTACTGAAAAGATGATGATGATGATCGTTTACCTATACTCTGTGATTTGAGATTGTGTTGTCAATACTCGCCACGCTTGAAGGATGCGACGACCTCATAAAGGTAGCAGCACAGAATAAGTAATAGTAGGACGTAGCCGGCCAATCCAATGGGCACTTGAAGGCATTAGATTTAGCTGAAGACGCTTATATTGGAAAAGTGCCCACCAACTATTCCAGGTACGTAGCAGGAAGGCGCTGGATGCAGGCCGGTACCAACCGAGTAACGCGAAAGCCATTGGGGAAGGCCTATGTTCAGCAGTGGACGTCCTGTGGCCGAAATGATGATGATAGATATCTTTAAATCTACAGAAGCGCTAAATTCTGTCAGTTGACTTTGTTATTTCCTCGAATCCATTAGCAAGTACAAACCGGCATTTCGACGTAAAAAATGCATTTATTTACTGCGTACTGTTTTTTAAGTAAGCAGTGTAACTTGTCGGAAAACACTTATTAATAATAAGTAGGTAGTATTAAAATATTTAAGGCAAATAGCCTCCGTAAAAGCTCATGATATTTTTCCTTATAATTTTCATTCTTATACATATATTCTTAGAATTGTCAATATACTTACTCTAACGAGAACATCGTAAATGGGTCAACAACTATCTTAATAACTTATCATTGCTAGTTAAGAATTCTTATCCAATATATTTTTAACTAATTTTGACTATAACAATCGTCGATCGTCGACGATTTTGTCGCGACAAGGAAAAATTTCCGTAATTTTGTGAAAAGTATTATTGGCAGATAGCAAAATAGCTCATAAGATAGGCCCCATTAATTGATGTTTATTGTCCGTGGTGCATATCTTTTCTTAAAGGCTACTAAACCTTTATTTGTCACCTGTCATCCACTTTGCAATGGAGGGAAGTCGAACCTTACCTTCGAACTCCTACTATCCAATGATAGTTTAACTTTCCCCCGGGACAAACTTGACCTTCATTGGTTGGGTTTTATTGGCGGTCAAGCTGTAGATCCTGGCTACACAGGAGTTGCAGCGGTGGGAACGAGAGGTGGGAATAGTCCCGTTAATCGTCAGGACATGAAATTGCACATTTTCGTTGCAAAGTATAATTTATTACAATCACATAAGATGTCAGTGTTTGTTTGTCTGCACGTGAAAAAACGCGAGTTTCCAAGATTTGCTCATTACTTCAAATCCTATTGGCTTTATTTGTGTAAATATTTAACAGATTGCAAAAAAGGTCACGTTTAATTCAAACTAAGTTTAGTCTTATTTATTTACTAGCGGCCGCCCGCGACTTCGTACGCGTGGATCTCGTTTTACCCCCCCTTCATCTATCTTACGCGGTTCAGATTTTTTCATACAAATGTTTTTTCCCGCTAACTCCCGTTCCCGTGGGAATTTTGCAATATCATGTTGTAACTAAGCTTTAAGTTTACTAAGGTACCTGCATGGCAAATTTCAAGCGTCTATCTTACGCGCTTTAGATTTTTCATACAAATGTTTTTTCCCGCTAACTCCCGTTCCCGTGAGAATTTTGCAATATCCTGTTGTAACTAAGCTTTAAGTTTACTAAGGTACCTGCATGCCAAATTTCAAGCGTCTAACTTAAGTGGTTTCGATTTTTCATACAAAAGGATTTTCCCGCTGATTCCCGTTCCCGTGGGAATTCCTAAGTATCCTATAACCTGCCCAGGAGTATGAAGAAAAATTGTACCAAGTTTCGTTAAAATCCGTTGAGTAGTTTTTGTTTCTATAAGGAACATACAGACAGACAGACAGACAGACAGACAGACAGACAGACAAAAATTTTACTGATTGCATTTTTGGCATCAGTATCGATCACTAATCACCCCCTGATAGTTATTTTGAAAATATATTTCATGTACAGAATTGACCTCTCTACAGATTTATTATAAGTAATAGATTAAAACAAGTACCAATGAAGACGCACAGGGTTATCAGTAGAGAGATAATCGTTTTATTTTTATCTACGCTACCAAATCATAAGAGGTTAAGCCATTGTAACGTCAAGGTCTAGATCAAAATAGTTAAGTTAAATATAAATATGACTTTTACTGTTTGAAAGCACCTAGCTATACCCTGCACTGCTGTTCGAACTTGACTGACTTCGACTTCATTCATCTTATTAATCACAATAAAATTAAGACTAATCAAATGTGGCTTCTCACTTGTATAATAATAGGAACTACTTCCAGGAATAACATCAAATGGAAGAATCTAACAGTAACTGTAACTGTAACCTACTATAGTTGGTACTTAACCTCCAGAAGTCCAGATATTCCGGGTGAAAATGTACTTTCGTAAGGGGTAATTGTAATTAAAAAAGATAGTATTTTTAAAACATTTTATTTTAATAAGAATTATAAAAAATATCTTGTACCTAATGTGATGTTTTGTAACTAAATAACTCGAGTTCAGTAACAGTTCAATTTCTATGGAATTACGTTTTATACATAAAAAAATTAAATAGAAATTACACCGCTAATCATACAGCTATCACAACCATTTTGATAGGGTTTATAATTTGTTTCATTTTGGTTCAATCAATTGGTCGGAATATTGACTCGCAAACAGCTGAAATATTTACCCAGTTCTTGAGAATATAAGACAGCTCTTTCCAAAGAATTCGTTAGTCGATTTTGAAAAGATTTTAGTCCCAAAGGATTGTTTACTGGTTGATGTTTGCGAGCACCTTACTCTTAGCTTTGGTTTATTTTGAGTTGAGGAACGCGTCAAAGGATTCCGTGTATTGGCCCTCAGGGTCGTGCTTCTTCACCAGCTCAGCCCACATGTCGGGGAGCTTGGACTGGAAGCCATGGACGACAGTCTTGATCAGTTCCCGTTGTTTCGGTGTGCATTTGCCGCAGTCAGTCTTCAGGGCCTCGGGGATCTTCTCTGGGGAAAACAAAAGACGTTAGCGTAATCAATTTGTGTTAGTACGTACATCAAAAAAGGAACCCTTATATGACGATTTTGATGTTCATTTGTCTCTTTGCAAGGAATTATAACCTTGAATGAACTTATTAAACTATGAGTTAAGCAAAAACTCCGAAATAGTGCATTTGTAAGTACCTATTACACTTTTTGTCCAGTTTTTCTTATCTAAAGCCGACTCATTTCTAAGAAAAAATATTGAAAGATAGAAGTTATAATTTTAGTACGTGGTCATGATGTAAATAATAACAGACTAGATACAATTTATTCGTATTATATGACGCTGACATATCTCCATTAGATGTAATCGTATGTAATCAATTTGAGAGCTGTGATTATTCACTGGCAAAGTAATTCCACTTTATGTCTTCGCATAAATATATTATTACAATTAAAGTTCTTCGCATAGATATTACAGTTAAAGTTTAATAGACGTATTTTCTAGAATAGATTATAGCTATAGCTATTAGCTTCTCAATCAGTACCTAACCAATGTAGGATTCAATTCGATACAATCGTAAATAAATAAAAGTGCTATTTTGTAAAAGGCCGCTACCAACCGGGCAACATAAAAAGCATTGGGGGAATCGAACCCGGGACCTTTGGATCTAATGCAGCCACCACTGGACTACAAAGGCAGTTAATATCATTCCATTTTATATTCCCTTCGTTACGATGATGATAATTCGTTCGTTTGTTCTCAGCCAAATGACTTCCACTGCTGGACAAAAAAGCTTCTCCAAAGGATTTCCGCCTTAGTCTCTCTAATTGACCTGTGGTTGACTGGCAGAGAATGCCACATGGCATTAAGTCCGCCACTGTACTATATTATGTGCAAAAAGTATAAATAAATAAATAAATTTCCACAACCACCGGTCCTGCGCCGCCCGCATCCAGGCACCTCCCGCGACCTTCACCAGATCGTCGGTCCACCTAGTAGATGATATTTTAAACTTACTCTTGAAGTCAGATCCCTCAGGCGTGCAAGGGCCCTGGTCCAGGAAGCACTTGCCGTAGTTCTTGAGCAGACGGATGTTATCGACCAACTCCTGCGCATTGAAGCTGTCGAAGGCGGTGCTGTATGTGTCTTCAGGGCGAGCCAGGGCGACCGCCACAAGCGCGCAAAGTGCTACGATGGTTTTCATGTTCTGGACAAAAATAAACAAATTAATACTATAGAAATGACCACGACCACTCTGCCAATTGTGAAATTGCGATTTTGTGAAAAATATTATTGGCAGGTAGTTGCTAATTGCTCATAAGATAATATAATATCAATTAAGGGGGCCTCCCTTAATTGATATTTATTGTCCGTGGTGCATCTTTTCTTAAAGGTTTTAAACCTTTGTTTGTCACCTGTCATCCGCTTAGCAATGGAGGGAAGTCGAACTTTAATTTCGAACTCCTCCTATGTTCTTCTGATTAATTTCGTTGCGGGTCCAATGACAGTTTAACTTTCCCCCGGGACAAACTTGACCTTCATTGGTTGGGTTTTTGTGGCGGTCAAGCTGTAGATCCTGGCTACACAGGAGTAGCAGTGGTGGGAACGAGAGGTGGGAATAGTCCCGACCACTCTGCCAAGAGTGTAGCGACGAAGAAGAAGACTATACAGGGTGTGATTTTGTAAAACAACGCCTATCTCAGGGGTGATACGGTAGTATAACCTGACATGAGCGATGTTTTACAAAACCATACCCTGCAGAAACGATGTTGACTCTATATGTTATGCTTTGACACTGAAACCACTAATCCATTTTTAACCGACTTCAAAAAAGGAAGAAGAAGAAGCCTTTCTCAGACTTCGGCTTTTTAGTGCATTTTTCTTGGGAGTTGGATTTTTTCTGTTTTCATAGTATAATTTCTATAACAAAAAAATTGAGGTGTTAGTCCCCTACATGGCTATAGGTCTAGATCAATAAAATTAAGAAACTAGGTATCCAATAAATCAAGGAAATAACTGTGTTATTACATTGAGATTGCCCGTAGTCAAAGAGTTCAAGATTCGAAGTTCAACGGTTAAAAGTTAATTTATTTTAGGAACCAATATATTTTAGATCGTTAAAAGATTTACCATAAAGTTGATTTTGTCTACGTGTTAAACGCCGGCGCCAACAAATCTATTTCGGGTGTAATAACTAATAACAAACAAAGGCTCATGAAAGATCCTTAACTTGGTGTCATTGAGGTCATCACATCAACTTCCGTCCAGCCAAGTCAACATTGAGTCATATAGTAAACAATACATTACGCAACGACAACGAGTACAAAAACATAAAGATTTTTTTAACATTAGTACTCAACTTTTTGTGGTTATCTGAGTCATACGGGTTATTATATGCACGTAATTTATTTATTGTTACAATTTATTTTTATGTAGATAAGTATGTAATTTATTGATTTGTAATTTATTGATTGTTACAGATGTAATTGATACAGAACAGTGAAGGGAGAAGCAGTAAATCAGGAGGCGAAGGCTATATCCTGAAGGTAGAGGCGTGCAGTGCATATAGTTAATTGGAAAGTGCATATAGGCATAAGTATTAAAGTATTGATGAATTATTAGTGGCAATTAAAATAAAAGTATATCACCTACCTATCTAGATACTTTTTAAAGACCCTCTTTTGAATAAAAAAATATGTTAGAAAAAAATGTTTTATGGTTCATGGTTTCAGGTAACAGCAGATTTTAGATTTTAAACGTGGTTGGTGTTGTAATCTTAATAAATAAGAGGGTAAGACTGAAAATGATAAGGGCCAATTAGACCAAACTTTTATCAAAGAACTCCTGGTATAACTGGCACATTGACAGTTTCAGTATGAGAAATATTATGCCAAAACTGACGATTTATTCTGAGATTAATTACTCTTGTTTGGTCGAATCCACCCTAAATAAATTAGGCTAATCTAATATAAAAAGAAATAGGTTGTGCTGACGTCATGTGGGCGGGTACTCACGTTAGGATCTCTCGCAGTCTCACAGGTACTGTGCCAGTGGTACACTCGAGGATTCTTATATACAGATTTTAAAGGAGGAAAACATGATTGATCCGACGCACGGACAATAATAACAACCCACATCTTGAACCTTATTATGATAACCATAAGGAAGCCGGCGGAACGTGTGTAACAACATATTGATGCTGACTCGATAATAACAAATGAAGTTGTTATAGCTTCAGTAAACTTCCATTATTAAGTGGTCTGCAGTATTTAGTGGACGTGACAAAAACCTTTACGTTAGCACGTTGATACGAATGACATTGATTTAAAACAATTGATCAAGTTGTTGTGATTCAGCCTCTTGTTCTGAAAATGTCACATAACTGAGTTTCACTTGGAAAATGAAAAATGGACTTGTACTTCCTACTTTAATGTTAGTTTTTGTTTAACTGACTGAACATAACCCTTGGCTGAATTCGAATCCAAAATTGCATTGCAGCAGCTGCTGTCTATTTATTTATTTAGACGGTCAAAATTCTTTTTAATAGTATAAAAAAATAAAACCGACTCCAAAAAACCTACACTAAAAAGTAGAAAAATAATTACTAACTACCTACTTATTTATTAGGACGAATTAATATTTATGTAGGTATACCATGATTGATACTTTTGGAGTCGGTGCCAAGATTATGAAACATGTAAAGTTTGCCTAATAAATAAGTAGGTAATTAGTAATTATTTTTCTACTTTTTAGTGTAGGTTTTTTGGAGTCGGTTTTATTTTTTTTTATAAAATTTTACTTATTTCTTGCTTTTTAGTTAACTTATTATTACCCTGATTTTCGGTACCACTCAAGGTAGGCAGTACATTGAGACCATATTCTTCATGTCTAGTGTAAAATAATATTCCCTACAAAATACAGGTTACCATATAGGAAACCTAAAAAGACCGTAAACCGTCAGCCCACCTTAAAAACATGAAAGAATACAACTGTTGGTCTATTTGTACCTATAATATTTAAAGAATTATCCTCCAACTCCTAAGCATTAAGGAGTTGTACCTACCATGACCAGTTCATCATGATGAGATGATGAATATCTGATGTTAACACTTGAATAACTTTAGAAACTATACTTATCTATAAAATTAAAAGAATTATCTTCCAATTCCTAAGTATTAAGGAGTTTTACCTTCTATAATCAGCTCATCAATATGAGATGATGATTTCCAGGAGCAAATACTTGAATAAGTTAAGAAAAAGTTTGAAAAACGATATACGTGCCTATAAAATTTGAGGGTTGCCCTCGATTTCCCTAGGATCCCATCATCAGATCCCAACTTGGTGACAATGGGACCACCTCAGAAGTGTACCCTATCGAACAAAAAAAGAATTTTGAAAATCGGTCCACAATTGACGGAGTAATCGGTGAACATACATAGAAAAAAAAAATACATACAGTCGAACATATAACCTCCTCCTTTTTTGAAGTCGGTTAAAAATGTGATTAATTTTAGGACATCGCAGATTTTAGATCTAAGTTAAAGGTAAGTCCTTTAACTTCTCGTATCTTCTTGTCTTCTTCTTATTCTTCTTTCTTGAAGTTTATGTCGTCTGTATTATTATGTAATGTAATTCTTTTAAGGCCCAAGTGGTTTGTTAGTGTTATAATATGACCCTAATGGAATATTGTAACCATTGGACTTCCTGATAAACTATTTCCAAGGTATGGAAGATTATCAGCGACCTTTGGACGTAACGTTAAAAACATTAACGATTTAAAACCAAAGTCCTTTGAATTCGTCTATAAAAATACTAAAGATTTGAAACTAATAGTTAGAAGTATCTAAAAAGTAGGTAGTTAGAATTTTTTTTTTTCAAACTCAAAAAATCTTTATTGTATGTAAGTACCATTAATTTTGTTTGTGTACGTTCACTGAATGGAAACCTCACTTTGTTTTATTAATTACAGAAGAACGCGTTAAGGAAATGTCACTGAGTTAGGTTCCAATATTCACGTGAAGTAGGTACTTTATAAATCAAGTCTCCTTTTAGAGCATTTTCAAAAAAACTTACAAGTATACGAGTAGCCGGACATAATTAGTACAACTTTACTGGCCAGTATTTATTTATTACTAGCAACCCGCCACGGCATCGCACGAGTGCTATTTATCTATACTTACTTATAATAAATCTGTAGAGAGGTCAATTCTGTACATGAAACGATACTGATGCCAAAAATGCAATCAGTAAAATTTTTGTCTGTCTGTCTGTCTGTATGTTCCTTATAGAAACAAAAACTACTCGACGGATTTTAACGAAACTTGGTAGGTACAATTATACTTCGTATCTCTCCCGAAGATGATTACGTTTTACATGCAGCAGTACCTGGGATGATGCCGTCCTTATCACACTTTTAGAGAATATTTATTTAAAAATATGAGTTTTAAATATAATAAATTACGTGTTTTGACTCCTCAGCACCGTAGTACATTCCGCGGTCCGCCATATTTCTTGTCATTACTTGTGTTGGTGTTCGTCCGACTCACACGTACTTTTTCAATAAAAATAACTTAGCGTAAAAATGGGTAAAAGGAAGCGATCAAGTAATGGTGATAATAGTGATATAGTGAAAAGTTTGTTAAGATACCTCGTATGTACATAGACAACGACAAATTATAGTTTTATCTGATGATGATGAACCAGAAAAAACATCGTTGTCTCCATCGTGCAGTCACTGCAGATTTGCAGACATACATACATACATATTTAAAACATTCTGGTAAGTTGTGAATCGTGTATCTTGAAATTGTTATGAAATAATGTGAATAATTTCTATTTTTTGTATTAAAAATGAATATTTTCAACTACCCTCCGTGGTAATACTTTGTGTCCCGACTTAATCGTGTGTGGATACTAAACTACACGTACAAAAATCGTGTTATACAAAATACATAAACATCCCGACGTAGTAATCATCTTCGGTCAAGACACTCGTATAATTAGATATCAAACATCACAGGTAAGTTCGTTTGATTCTTAATTATTCTTCATACTCCTGAGCAGAATTTTGCAATATCCTGTTGTAACTAAGCTTGAAATTTGGCATGCAGGTACCTTAGTAAACTTAAAGCTTAGTTACAACAGGATATTGCAAAATTCCCACGGGAACGGGAGTTAGCGGGAAAAAACATTTGTATGAAAAAATCTAAACCGCGTAAGATAGATGAAGGGGGTAAAACGGGATCCACGCGTACGAAGTCGCGGGCGGCCGCCAGTTATAACATATAAACCTTCCCCTTGAATCACTCTATTGCTGAAAAGCGCATTAAAATTCGTAAGTATGTAATTTAAAAGATCTAAGCGCACACATTGCGGGAGCGACTTTTTTTTACTTATAAACTATTATACCTTTCCGCCCGCGTGGAATTTTGTCTGTCACAGAAAAACTCTATCGCACGCGTCCCTGTTTCAATGTCCCTATGTCCTTAAAAAATCCTCCCGGGACTTAAACTATTTCTATGCCAAATTTCATCAAAATCGGTTCAGTTTTTTAGGCGTGAAAGCAAGACAGACAGACAGATATTAGTATAAGATAAGTTAGAAGCAAAAATACTAATGTAAAGAAAAGAAGTCGCGTCATACAATTTTATAACAGCGTAAAAATAGTAACAAAATTGTTCATTTAATTTCCATTTCTATCTCAACTAAGTCGATAGTTCTTTACTTAGGGTATTCACAGAATGTAGCCTCTATGATAAAATATTTCTTGTTCATTGCTACTCTTTCTAAGTCTAAAATCATGTATTTGTCTAAAAGCAATTGTTAAACACTTCTGTAGGACATAAACATAACAATAGATGTAGTTTTGCATTCACAAGTGCCAATTTTCTTTGCAAACCTTTGACACCGGACTGAACTAAAATTAGAGACATTAATAGCAGTAATTTACAACCACAAATAGATTGTTTGTGTGTAATTAGTCGTGAGTAATTCAAGTGTTGGTACAGAAATTAAAATCTAAGCTAGACGATGACAAAAGATGAAATCCTAGCCCTCACGTCCTGAAAAAGTGGGATATTCTTCGAAGCGCACCCATTTGAGGCGCACCTAATCATCATCATCATCATCTCAATGCTTTCCATGTTGCCCGGTTGGTAGCGGCCTGCGTCCAGCGCCTTCCCATGCAAACCTTTATGATGTCGTCGGTCCACCTTGTGGGTGGACGTCCCACGCTGCGTTTTCTGGTACGCGGTCTTCACTCCAGAACCTCCTAATGAAGCAGCCTTAAACTATTCCTCATTGCGCTTCATACTGAGGTATCCATTTTGTGGTAGGTGCGCCTCAAAATAGGTGCGCTTCACAGATTAGAGAGTAGTGCGCTTTGAAGAATACCCCAGGGAGGAGTCCTGCCGGCCTAGGATGCGTGATAAAATCTTATCGATGATTTTAGACGACAAACCAAACATATGGGCTTATCGTGTAATATAGATAAAAATATGGCGCGATAAACGCTTATCGCGGCGCGCATCTTAGGCCTACAGATGTTCTATTGCTCTCGCCAATCCACAGGGGAAAAGTGGGGGTGAGTTCACCCGGAACCAAACGGGAAACTTTAACTACTGTTTAAAAGACAGAAATAAGAATTCAGGTAAATAGTAGAATCCCTTTTGTTATAAAACCTTGAACTTAATACAGTTCGTGAATGAAACTGGTTAGCACTCTGATGTTTATTAGTCGTACGGCGGAGTAAGTAAGGTTTACAATCACAATTAGTTGTATGACATATTGTGCAGCGCCCCTAGTGGCTACTTTCAAGAAATAAAATATTCATAGATTTTTTTGACGTATTCGCTAGCAAGCACACCTAACGTAAACTCATAGTAAGCACACTGAATATTGCGACTTTACCTCTAGCCCATCGATGTTCTACCTCAATAAAATCAAATACTTAAAATATTTTCTGTGCTAGCTAACCGAGTGACACTCAGAGGTTCTTAGGGGTACCTATGATGTTGTTTACATTCATACTTAAGTATAAGTATCTAACGGTTTTGTATTCAGTTGGTTCGTTTCAGTCGAAAGACGTTACGTCCACTGCTGGACAAAGGCCTCCTCCAAGGATTTCCACAAAGACCGGTCCTGCGCCGCTCGCATCCAGGCACCTCCC